TATACACGGAATTAATCACTTTATACCGTTATCACGTGACTTTCACGAGTTAATTACCATATTGCCATTCTGTTCAACAGGTTCAAGCGAGATGGTCGAGAACAGCACGGCGAGATGGAACTGGCCACTTATGGCACTGATGAGAGCGTTGTGTCCTTATCAATATCAGGAATACCAGTGGAAGAAAAGTAGTTCTTGCAATTTAGGTCATCCCAATCCCGTGTCATGCGAAATTTCAGTACCACGAAACTCTGACATATTCGTATCTAGAATCCTTATCTCTAAATATAATCAGTATTTTTTTACAATTATTTCACATATTGTATTATATAGATTCTTTAGCATGTGTTATGACCTACACATTGAATCACCGTAAAATGAATAATCTGTCAATCTATTGAATGTATGGAGAGGCCGAAATCTTCTGATTTTGGTCAAGTTAATGTAAAAGTGCAGGGCAGCGGTTAAAATTTCGCCCTCTAGAGTTATAATAGTACCAGGTTATTCAGATTAGTGCAACTTATTTGATTAATTGTGTAGCATACAAACGTATACATATATATGTATATTAATCAAACTAAGTTTTGAATTGCATGTATGTTTACTGTCATAATGACAAATCACAACTACTAGTACTACTAGGATAGATCCGAACACTTTTAGAATCAGATATTTGTACACTATAGTAAATAATTTCACAATGTAGACTGTATATATATAATTGATACATTTAATAAGCCGTCATTTTATTCAAATATAGTCATAGTAGTATTTAGGAAATTGATTTCTTTGCATCAATACAAATGTACTGCAGTATTCATAGTTATAAGCTTGCTGATATTGATAATGGTCGTGAACATATGCAAATGAGACAAAACTAGTCTAAAATTGTATTTTCTTTTCATTTAAAAGTTGCATCACTTGAATTGACCATTTCTGAGTTTCTTTAAACGTTATATTCTGTCGAATCAGGGTGTTACATATACGTAAACCCCACTTAGTACTGTTCGGAATATGCATACGGTATTGTAAGTGAATTAGGTGAGGCTCAATTTTGTAGCTTAAAAAATTGTACAAAAGTGTCTGAAAAAAATGGCCAGCAGTTGTTATCACTTTTTTTCGAAAATGAATAACGTCACAAAATAAAGTGTAGATATAACATGACTTGCTAAGCTTTACCACCCAAAGAGCGTAGCTGAGTGTTAATGGTATTTGTATTTCAGTAACTTAGAAGTCATAACTAATTAAGAATTTGTCTTCTTTCCAATGTTGTATTTCACGAAGTAAAATGATTCATAGAAATGTAGCAATGAAAGTAGTTTTAAAAAAATAACCAAACTTAATACTTGTTTGCCATATTTTGTTCCCCGACAATGTACAAGAATGTACGTTAAGTTTGTGATAGCCGTGTCATTACAACACTGACAATGTACAAGAATGTACGTTAAGTTTGTGATAGCCGTGTCATTACAACACTGACAATGTACAAGAATGTACGTTACGTTTGTGATAGCCGTGTCATTACAACACTGACAATGTGCAAGAATGTACGTTACGTTTGTGATAGCCGTGTCATTACAACACTGACAATGTACAAGAATGTACGTTAAGTTTGTGATAGCCGTGTCATTACAACACTGACAATGTACAAGAATGTACGTTAAGTTTGTGATAGCCGTGTCATTACAACACTGACAATGTACAAGAATGTACGTTAAGTTTGTGATAGCCGTGTCATTACAACACTGACAATGTACAAGAATGTACGTTAAGTTTGTGATAGCCGTGTCATTACAACACTGACAATGTACAAGAATGTACGTTAAGTTTGTGATAGCCGTGTCATTACAACACTGACAATAATGCATATTTAAGTGAGAGAAATGTGATTATACTGAACTGTGGTGGGACTCATACTAAATTGAGAGGTGAATATTATAGCATTCAGTGTACAATGGTCTGCCAAGTACACGTTCACATCGCTATAAAAGTGATGCAGTCAATGTTTGAACAATTCAAAAATAACTTCTGACTCTGACCTTATCAATATCAATCTGATGTTTGAAGTTCATGACCATGATTGAAAATAATTCCTGGAAAGTAGAAACACAATTTTCAGTCAGAACCTTAATGCATTGTAATTGCTCCTGGAGATATTTTAAGTGACAACTGTTTTTATACCTAGGTGGTCATATATGGACATTGCCTGGCCCATCTTGGTGACATGCTAAACTATTTCTAACTAGGAATTATAGTAATAAAAAAATAATCTTTATTGTAATCGTATCCTCTTTTGGGGGTTGATACATTTGTAGTTATAAATATTTGAGAATAGCACCTCGATGCTGCAAGCAATCTCATATTTAATGTAATTTATGTTTGCCCATAATGAATTACCCATAATGCATACAGAAGAAACAAATATGGCCGCCATCTCACAACTGCAAATTGAAGGTCAATCCAGCACTACACATAGGACTCATGTAACATGTACAAAGCTTAGGCAAACACACTGAAACTCGCAATACCCACCTAAAGGTGATAATATGAATTGTAACCATATTCACGAACCAAACTTATGGTGTTGAAAAACTTTCTTTTACTACATATTTCCTCCTCATACAGACAACTGAAATAATAACACTAATGTCGGCTGAGGCGGTAAAAGATCGCATAGGGCGGAATAAAATAGTGTTCGATACAAGAAGGCCGAGAGGGGTTGTGTGTGAGAGAGTATAGTCTGGAAGGGGAAATGAAGATAGATAATCCTTTAAAGGGGAACCTTCCAAGCCCAGGGATTGCACCAAAGAATCATGCGACACTGTTGTTTATGTTGTTTACAAAGTCTTTTGTTATCCATTGTAATTTTAATCTAGAAAGTAAACTTGTTGTGAGATTAGGCTTAACTGGAGGTGCCCCTTTAAGGGACGATGCCATTTTTATGACCGGGTGGGTCGGTTGTACAAAAAAGACCCCTGGCCATTCAAAATAAGGTACCCCTGGGGAAAGATGAAGAGATAGATGACCAGGGGGGGGGTTCCAAACAAATAATTACGTGTACATGAAACAGATATTATTGTATACTGAATTTGAACATGGATATTATATTGCATTGGTGCCCGTCGCGAGAGTGTGAGAACTAATAAGAACTCCACGATAAAGACTTTCCGTTTTCGACATTGTGAATTCTTTCGTTATTAAGAATAATTCATAACGAAATGTATTTCCCATGCACCCATAAATAATTTTCATAATTACCGATTACACAAAAATATTACCAAAAAAAACAATAATTTGCTATAATCTCTATATTTTTTTATTTGTCTTCAATTATGACTGATAGAAGCTGAATGAAGTTACAAACTATGTAGTGTGTTGAACAACTCATGTATGAACAATAACATTAATAATAAATATGATTTTACTTGATAAAAATACTGTATTTTTTGCATAAATACGAAAGAATTTCACAATGTCGAAAATGGAAAGTCTTTAACGTAGTGTTCAAGAAATAACTTTTCTATTTATAGTGCAGTAGTTAATACTTATAAATATCAACATTATATCGCCAAAATTGTGTCCACATTTAAATGTTATTCTATCGCCCATGAGCCAATACGCACTCTATATTGTATGCGTGTTTGTCACAGCATTGTAAATACTGTAAACTACTGAGTAATTGTAAAAAGCAAAATTCATTGAGTACTATAGTAGCAATAACTTCATAGACAGTCTCTAAATGTTTTTTGTTTTATTTTCTTCTTTGATTATTCACCTTTGTGTTCCTTTCTGTCACGATTTCAACTATAAGCCAAGGGTGGACAAATTCCCCTATTTTTCTCGGGTTGGACTATTACCAAATAATGACACAAATGTATGGGATAATAGTATATAGTATAGTATAGTATATTTTATTTGACACTAAATAACATATTTTGTTACATTATCTGTGGTCAAAAGACATTAAATATAATAAAACACAAGTACACACACGAGACAAAGAAAATACATAAATAACTAAAGTCTAAGTAAAATTACTTATAGTAAAATAGTATGCTGTCAATAAATTTGCTAGCACTATTGGCAATGAACCC